GCCCTCAAGACATGGCTTTTTCAGCAAGCGGGACTGACCTAGGGTGAATTTTAAATAGGGATAATTTTTAATGATTTTTAATAAGAGACACAGCTACAAATATTTGGTTTTTAATTGGCTTTTATTGGGGAAATGTGCTATGTTGTTTTAATATGCTGTGAGCCGCCCTGAGTCCCGTGGGGAGAAGGGCGGCATATAAATTTAAATAAATAAATAAATAAATAAATAAATAAATGGGTGGGTGGATGGATGATTGGATGGATGGATGGATGGATGGATGGATAGATGGATGGATAGATAAATAGATGATAGGTAGGTAGGTAGGTAGGTAGGTAGGTAGGTAGATAGATAGATAGATAGATAGATAGATAGATAGATAGATAGATAGATAGATAGAGATAGATAAGGGGAGAGAGAGAGGGAGAGAGAGAGAGAGATATCAATAGATGGGTAGATGGATGGATGGATGGATGGATGGATGGATAGATAAATAGATGATAGGTAGGTAGGTAGGTAGGTAGGTAGATAGATAGATAGATAGATAGATAGATAGATAGATAGATAGAAGCTTTTAAACTGTGCCTAGGAATCTCAATTTGGAACCTCACTAAAATTCCTTGATAAGAGGATGCAAGACTAATTTTGCCTCGTCTCCATCTTGTAGAAAATGAGAAGGGCTTTCCTCTAAAACAATGTTTCTCTACCTTGCCAATTTTAAGATAGGTGGACTTCAACTCCCAAAAGGTCCCAGCCAGCCCTTTGGCTTTCAAGTTAGAATCGAAAAGGACACAACAAAGAACGAAAGCCGACTGGGTGGGGAAGAGAAAAACGCAAGCCAGCCATACTCTTGAGTGTCACTGGGAGCCTACTGGTTGAGGAATTCTGGGAGTTCTTAAAATCAACAAGGTTGAGAAACCCTGCTTTAAAGTCCTAGGGGGGCCCACCGCCCAGGAACCAAATATACTCCCTTGCTGACTTTTTCCTATTAAAAGTTTGAAAATCAGGACTTTTGTTCGTTCTTTCTAGGAAACAAAAAACCCCAATGTTTCTCTTCTAAGCAGATGCCACGATATAGCACTTTGAAATTTGTAGGGTTTATTAGCATTTTTTTTAAAAAAAAATACTTCCTGGCTGAATATATAGATAGATAAACTTAAATTCCTTAAACTCTTCTCTGTTGTGCAGGAAAACAAAGAAGGGTCATGCTTCAGAGCATAAAGACCAGCTGTCTCGACTAAAGGAACGAGATCCGGAATTTTACAAGTTTCTGGAAGAAAATGACAAGACTTTGCTCAATTTTGATGATTCTGACAGTTCTGATGAAGAGAAGAACCATCACGTGTTGCCTGAAAAATTAGAGGTAATTAATTTATTTGCAATATATCTGAACATCAGGAATCAACCTGACTGCTCTTGCTAGCTCTCTGATGCCAGTTAGAATCCGGCTTAGTTAATGCTTCGATCTCCTGTCATATTGCAGGACTATAGAAATAAAATGATCAGAGGAACCAATTTCTTTTTATTCCCAAGAAAACTGCGTGACTGTGACCCTGGAAGTTACCCATATCAGGCTAATGCTTTTTTTTTTTTTTTAAACTTTGATAGGAAGCAACTGATGATGAAGATGAGGAAGAAGAAGAAGAAGAAAAAACAGCTAAGCGGAAAAAAATGGACTTTATCACAGTGTCATTGAAAATGGTGGAACACTGGAAGGAAGTCGCAGAGGTAAGAGAGACCATTTTTAAAAAGCAGCATTTCTTTAGGAGATGCAAATAAGTCTGATTAAATATGG